CACGACCAGACCCCCCCCCCCCCAAAAAAAAAGAATATATCAGTTTATCATGTGCTAGAAACTTCTTACTTCATCAGTAATTTCTGATTCTTCCAACAACTCTGTATTGTCCTAAATGCCAATTGGGCTTTTACTCTAAATTGTTAAAGTCAAAGAATTTTAAAGCAATGAAGATTCTTACAGGTCAACTATGTGACCCAAGTCTCCAGAAACAAAAGAAACTGGAATCATTTGATAGCTAAAATAGTAAGTTAAGCCAGGTACCAGTGGTTTATGCCTGTGATCCTGGCTACTCACAAAGCTAAGATCTCAGAATTGCTGTTTGAGGCCAATCGAAAAAGAAAATTAACCACCAAAAAGCCAGAAGTAGAGCTGTGGCTCAAATGATAAAGAGTACTAGCTTTGAGTGAAAAGCTAAGGGACAGCACCTAGGCCCTGAGTTCAAGCACCACCCCCTCAACCCCCCCCCCCTTGCCCCCAGATCCCTGACACACACACTTAAAATCTGATAGTTAAAAAAACAAGAGTAATTGCAGTTGCCAACAACATCCTTCAGGAGTTATGTTAAATATTTTACTGTTTATTATCTTAACCTGTCAGACAATAAGGTAAACTGTAAATACAAAATAACTGTAAAGAATTACAGACACTTATGTGACAAATCACAATGTTCAATCTAAGGAGAAGTTGGCTGGGGCCTAAATAGTAGAGGCCATAGACTCTATTTGATTATTTTCTGTATTATAGTTCAAAGTACCTGACAGATAAAACATCCCATGAGTTTCCCAAATTTATGATATCCTGAGGTGCTGTGAAGTGGGGCTTTCCTGAAGCTTTGATTCTCCTGGCAGAAATAGGACTATTCTGAGATTTATAGGCCATAGCTCATTCTTGAGCTACAGCTCAAATGATTTTTAACTACTTCATCATAGGAAGCAATTGAGAAAGAAGTCCTGTTCAATTTCTCATTACCTTCTTTAGCAGACTACTTAAATAATTCAGACAGCCCATGAGAAGTCATAGATTGAATGTTATACCCAGCATGTGTATTAATGAACAATAGAACTGGTTCCTCATAACCTACAGATGACAAAAGAGTGAAAACACACACTTCTTCATGAAGAAAAGTTCTTGCTTTCAAGACACTTCACTTTGAGTTGTCATGGACCATGTAGAACTAAATAGCTCCAAGGAAATGTCCAATATTAGGACTGGGTCATGCTAGCTATCTGGGTCTCTCACAGTGGAATATTAACTCTATAAGGTATTAGAAGATTTTCTAGAGCAAGGACTAGGGGGGCATGGCTCAGCACTTCTACCAAGTATGAGGCTTTGAGTTTAAATGCTAGTATGAAAGAAACAATTGAAGAAAATCAAGTTCATGAATGATAGCCCTCTTTTGGAGATGAACAATACACATTAGCAGATTAAAAGCTGGCAGGAGCAGTGCTGCAGGAAGAAATTCTATAGTTTGGTATTTTTTCAAACTTCCTTGAACCATAGAACATTTTTCTTCTAAAACCCTCAGAAGAACCATTACCATATTTCAGTATACAGTGTTCTTTCTAATGCTGTTTGGGAAGTGGTGCTAAATTATGTCTAAAGTTTCATTGGTAGGCTCTAAACTAGCCAAGGAAGAGAGAGTGCCAGGGCCTCTAAAAGCTGCCAATTTCTGAAGGTCCTAACCTTTTGGGAAAAAATAAAGGCAGCTAAGACTAAGAGAGCAACCAAGACAAAGAAGCCAGACAAAAAGGTCTCCTTTCTATACCCAACCCCCCTACTCTTTCCTGCTCCCAGCAGCACATGTCAGGGCCACATGTAAGCTTCTAGATTCTTCTATGGTTAATCAGCACTTGCCCCATCAAGCTGGAATTGCTTGTATACTCAAACTCAACTTTCTCCCCTACTTGACTATGAGTACCCTAAGGTGGAACGCTCTTCCCAGTGAGTGCCTGTGATGCTGGCTAAGGAACTGATTGACCCACACTCCATTCTCTTTATATTATCAACTTCATGATGGAAGTAGCTTCCACTTATTAAATGCTTACCAGACAACAGGCACAGGGCTAAGAGCTTCATATGGATTTATTCTCACAACAACCCTATGAGATAGGTATTTTTTTATTTATTGTAAAAATGTAGAAAATAAATTCAGAAATTGTCAAAGCTACCCAGCTAGTAAATGATGGAGCCACAACATAAGTCTGGACAGTTTGACTTCAGAGCCTACATTTTTAACCAGTGTACCTGTCTTTTCTATCAAAGTAGATAGTGGATTGCTTAAAAATTCTTACTTTGTCCAGGTAGCTCATCTCTTGATTATTTTGCTAAGACAATATCAGCAAGTACAGAAATGAAGAAGAACTGCTTTGGGATAAGGAAGGATTTTTGAAATGTAAGTTTTTGTCTTAACTGTTTTTTCTAAGATGGAATTAGGACACACTTCAGAAGATACTCGCAGATTGTTCAAGAGTTAGCAGAGGATGTGGGTATGTTTTAAGGTTAATTGCCTACTATTAATCTTCTTTCAAAGTCTTTTTTTTTTTGCCAGTCCTAGGACTTGAACTCAGGGCCTGGGCACTGTCCCTGAGTTTCTTTTTACTCAAGGCTAGCACTCTACCACTTGAACCACAGCACCACTTCTGGCTTTTTCTGAGGAATCAAACCCAGTGCATGCTAGGCAAGCACTCTACCACTAAGCCACATTCTCAGCTTAGAGTCTTTTAATGGTCACCTTATGTAAATACATCTTAACCCTATTCAAACTAGCCAGTCTGGAGCAGATTATGAATCTAAGCTCAATCAATCTGAGCAGAGCAGTAGGGCCTGCTGCATTAGGAATAAATAGGGGAGCAGCCTGTCTGTTTTGTGTGTTTGCTAGACAGATTTCTCGCTGATGGCACACCCTTTTGCAGAATTAAAATTTGCCTTGCTCCCAATTCTTTGTTTTCATGTCTATTGTTGTGAATCCAGTGGTTCTTGGAGAGTATTATTTATAACATAAGATTCATCTCAGATGTGAAACTCTACAGTTTTGTAGAGAGAGGAGTAGTGGCCTGTTATGGGTGACTGTCAGGATCAGGATCAAGGCCTAGGACTGAGTACAAGGAGAATCTTCAAAAGACAGGCACAGGTGGCACAGGAAAAGGACTTGGAAAGGACAGCTGAACACACTAGTTCTCCTGTTAACAGTACTGATAGATCATTGGTTTCATATGGAAGAAGGTAAAGCAGACATCAAGTCTAAAAATTTCAAGGGGGGATTACAAAGAACACAATGAGATTCTATCTCACATGTCTGAATGGTCATCAAGAATACAACAGCAAATGAGGATATGGGAAATAAGACTCTCATCTACTCTTGGCGTGAATGTAAACTAGTGCAACTGCTATGGAAATTGGTATAGAGGCTCCTCAAAACACTCCCCCCCACAACAAAACCCCCCAAAGATAGACTTACCATATGATCCTGCCATGCTACTCCTGGGTATATATCTTTAGGAATGTAAGTCATCATATAATTAAGATACCTGTGCATCTATGCTTATAGCAGCCAAATCATATCAGCCTAGGTGCTCATCAACTGAAAATGTGGTGTGTATATACAATTATTCAGCCACAAAGAAGAATGAAATTACATCATTTGCAGGAAAATCAATGGAACTAGAGATCATGATATATAGTAAAATAACCCAGACTAAGAAAGACAAATATCATGTGGTGTCCTTTTATGATGAATCTAGACCTTAGGAAATGAGCGATGGGAAAATAGAGACTGCGTGTGGGTAGGAAGCAGTGGGAGGTGGTGAAGTGAATGGAGAGGGTAAAGGCAGAGGTGAATATGATCGAAGACTTTATACACATGTATATGTATACAGAATAAAGGTTGCTTATTGGTGAGTAGAGACAGAAACTAGAGTGGCAAGAAGGAACTTCAAACAAATTCAGACTTCAATTAATAGTAATACTATGATAAAGAAGTTAGTAGTGAAGTACACTTATGGCTACAAATCTGAACATATCACAAATAAGATAGGTTGATAATTACAAGGCTAAAGACATGTGCAGTGTGATATTGCAAATACTACAAAATGTTAATGAAGCTTGAAATACAGGTGCTCTTTAAATAATTCTCTCAACCATTCTGAATGTTGGAATTTTTTTTTTTTTGGTTGGTGGTGGGGCTTGAACTCTAGGCCTGGGTGCTGTCCCTCAGTTCTTCAGCTCAAGGCTAACGCTCTACCACTTGAGCTACAGCGCTACTTCCGGTTTTCTGGTGGTTTATTGGAGATAAGAGTTTCACGGACTTTCCTGCGCGGGTTGGCTTTGAACCGCAATCCTCAGATCTCAGCCTCCTGAGTAGCTATGATTACAGGTGTGAGCCACTGGCGCCTGGCTGGAAAATTTTTATATTAAAATGCTGGGGAAGAAAAACTGCTTTCAATCCTTTCATTCTCTTAAGTATGGAAATTAAAACCGAATGTATATATCAAGTAAGACATTAGGGGCACCATTGTCAGAGTCATGATTTTATCCTTATTTCTTGCTTTATTTTGCAGTGCTGGGGATCAAATTCAGAGTCTCATATAGAGTCTCGCTGACAACAAGCAATATCCCAACATATAATTTTATCTTAAAAATATTTAATCAGAGAGATAAAGCAAACCATTCCTTTAGTTCGAAGACATATTTCAGACTGTCTTAACTTACATTATATACATCCTTCCTCGGGCTATAAGTTGTGCAGTTCCCTGCACTTGGCCTTTGTTTTGATACTACTTCCAAGCTAATCACTAAAAGATGGGCACATGCACAGACAACACTTTAACACAGTGAGGTAGAGCTGCTGGGATGAAGAAGAAGCTCATATGATGCCAACAAGACAAAATAAGTCACAAGATAATGTTAAGAAAAACTGACATTTTAAGGAGAGGCAGTCACTGAATGGATTACCGATTCAATGTTGATATCTTCAAGAAAGAACTTTTGGGTTTCATTACCTTTATCAAGAGATGCTCCAGCCATATGGTAAAAGCTCAGGGCAGTGTCCACATCATTAATATTCTTTAGGAAAGTAAAGAAGTTCTCTACCTCCTGAAATGTCAGACCCTGAAAGAGATGAGACAGCAAGGTAAGACAAGGCCTGCAGTAAAACAGCTGAGATGAAAAATTAGGTAGCAATCTTCATGTCTATAAGTCAGAAATTTGTGCTTGTATCTAGAACAGAGACCAAATAAATTGGTTAAATTTGTACATTACAGGAGAACAGAATTCTGGAACATTTTCCTGAGAAAAGCAAAGTGGCTAATTGCTTCCCCTTCAACATGTAAATTTCAACACAAAGCTGCTTGCAGTTTTTGCAGTTATTTTTAATGAAAATATTTCTAACTGTACTTTCTAATTCATCACACTATTCATGACATGTCCTAAGTAGGCTGAAACTACTTGATCTGCTATATATCTTAAGTAGTAACATTGGAGTCAGGACTTCCATTTTAATAGTCTGTTCCTAGGCCAGATAAGCTTTTTGAAGCTTAAGCCAATTAGTCACTAGTCAGTGATATACAAAGGCCAAGTAAAAAAAAAATCTGTTCATTATCTCAACGTAAAAGTTGTTAATGATTTGGTGGCTCATGCCTATCATCCTCGCTACTCAGATGTGAAGACAGCACGGGAAGACAATTATCTCCAATTAACCAATAAAAACCAGAACTAGAGGCTTGGCTCGAGAGAGAGTGCTAGCTATGATGAAAAAAAATTAGCATTACTGGGCACTGGTGGCTCATGACTGTACTCGCAGTTACTCAGGAGGCTGAGATCTGAGGATCATTGTTTGAAGCCAGCCCAGGCAGGAAAGTTTGTGAGACTCATATCTCCAATTAACCACCAAAAAGGCAGATGTGGAGCTGTGACTCAAGTGGTAAAGTATGCTAGCCTTGAGGGGGAAAAAAATAAAATAAAAATGCTCAGGGACAGCATCAAGGCCAAGTTCAAACCTTAGGACCAGCACACACACACACACACACACACACACACACTCACACACACACACACACACACATTCTAAAACAGAATATCGTATATCGTAGAACAAATATTTCCTACTTTGAAAGCAAATCTCTAATTTTTGCTAATTTTTCTTTTGTGAAACATCAAATCAATTAAATACAAGACTGGTTACCCTGCAATTATCTAAAGAGAGAGAGAGGAGAAAGAGAACAAGATGAACTGAATGGCTATTCATTTGATAATCTGGGAAAACAGCGAATATAAATCATATTATGTCACTATTAAATCCAAATATCTCACAGTTTATTTTTATTATATAGATACAATAAAGAATATTTATTTAGCACTCACTAACTACTTAGTACCATGCCAAGAACAGTGAGGAATAAGGTTGCACTGGACTTAGAATTTTAGATGGCATTCTTTGTGTGTGTGTATGTGCGCGTGTGTGGTGTACATGTGTGTTAGTCCTGGGGCTTGAACTCAGGGCTTGGGCAATGTCCCTGGGCTTCTTTTGCTCAAGGCTAGAGCTCTACCACTTGAGCAAAAGTTCCACTTCTGGCTTAATTTGGATAGTTTATTGGAGATAAGAGTCTCATGGACTTTTCTGCCCCTGTTGGCTTTGAACCATGATTCTCAGATCTCAGCCTCCTGAGTAGCATGGATTACAGGAGAGAACCTCTGGTGCCTGGTTTAGGTGGTCTTCTTAAAGAGAAGTTATGAAATTTTTTTCTTGGTAATTACTTTAGTAAAAAACTCAGAGGTGGGGCTGGGAAGGAGGCTCAGTGATAGAGCGCTTGCCTTGCATGCACAAGGCCCTGGGTTCGATTCCTCAACACCACATAAGCAGAAAAAAAAGCTGGAAGTGGTACTATGCTCAAGTGGTAGCGCACTAGCCTTGAGCTGAAAAGCTGAGGGACAACAAACACCCAGGCCCAGAGCTCAGGCCCCATGACTGGAACCCAACCCCCCCCCCAAAAAAAAAAAAAAAAAACCTCAGAGGTATCTAAGAATAAAACTAGAGTAAGATAATCCCATAAGCCCCATGGATGTTAAAACGAAAACTAGAAGGATATACTGCTGTAAATGAGCTGCTCAGGTTGTAGTTTCTGAGTCTATTGGTAGGTGGTTTGAACTGAGATGCCAGCCACAGCAGGAAAGTATGTGAGACTCTTACCTCCAGTATACTACTCAGAAAAGGCTGGAAGTGGCACCATGGCTCAAGTGATAGAGTGACAGCCTTCAGCCAAAGAAGCTCAGTGACAGCAGGTAGGCCTTGAATTCAAGCTCCAGGAGCAGTGTGCGTGTGCATGCGTGTGTGCGTACACGTGCATGCGCGTGCGCACACACGCACATGCACAACACACATACACACACAGAGGCAGATGTGCTGGAGCATTCCTTAATCTTAGCTACTTGGGAGGTAGAAGCAGGAGGATCTTGAAGTCTAGGCAAGCCTGGAAAAAGTTAGCATTGAGACCCTGTCTCACAAACAAAATATAAACAAAAGGGTAGGGAGTATAGCTCAGGGTAAAACACACACTTGCCTTACTTATTACTATTAACGTAATTAGTTTGTTAATTAATTAAAATACTTGAATAAACATTTTACCAAACAAGATACAGAATGGATGAGCATATAAACTGAAGCTCAGCACCTTTAGTAATAGGAAAATGCACATTAAAATCACAATGTCAGGGGCTGGGACAGCGCCCAGGCCCAGAGTTCAGGCCCCACAACCAGACCCCCCCCCACCTCCAAATAAAAAATCACAATGTCAGAATGACTAATACAAAAGGCAGACAACAGCAAGTGTTGGTGAGGATGTGGAAAAATAAAACAGTATGGCTACTTAGGAGAATGATCTGAGGACTACCAAGTTTGAGACATGACCTGAAAAATAACTAAAGCAAAAAGGGCTAGAAGTGTGGCTCAAGTGGTAGAATATCAGCCTAGAAAGTGAAACATCATGAGCTGAAACTCCAATATTGTCAAAAGCAAATAAACAAAATTAAACATAAATATAATGTATGAGCCAGCTCTCCCACTCCTCTTTTTTTTTTTTTTTCCTGACAATACTAGGGCTTGAATTTAGGGCCTAGGCATATCCATTAGCTTTTCTGCTCAAAGCTGGTGCTCTACCACTTGAGTCACAGTTCCACTTTTGGCTTTTTTTTTTGAGGTGGTTAGTTGGAGATAGTCTCATAGACTTTCCTGCGTGGGCTGGCTTCAAATCTCAATTCTCAGATCTCAGCCTCCTAAGTAGCTAGGATAACAGGCATGAGCCACTACTAGTACCAGGCTCTTAGGAATCTTTCTTTTTTTTGCCAGTCCTGGGCTTGAACTCAGGTCCTGGGCACTGTCCCTGAGCTTCTTTTGCTCAAGGCTAGTGCTCTACCACTTGGGCACAGCACCACTTTTGGCTTTTTCTGGGTATGTGGTACTGAGGAATTGACAGGGCTTTATGCATGCTAGGCAAGCACTCTACCACTGAGCCACCTTCCCAGCCCTCCTCGGAATCTTAAGAGAGAAACAAAGGTCCTCATAAAAACCTGTGTGTAAATATTCATAGCAATATTATTCATGACAGCCCAATTCAATTCAACAACAAAACAAAAGTAGCATATCTAAACAGGGATTTTTTTTTTTTGTCAGTTGGGGGGCCTGAATTCTGGGCCTGGATGCTGTCCTTGAGCTCTTCAGCTCAAGGCTAGTATTCTACCACATTAAGCCACAGTGCACTTCTGGTTTTCTGGTGGTTAATTGGAGATAAGAGTCTCATGGATTTTCCTTCCCAGGCTGGCTTTGAACTGCGATCCTCAGATCTCAGCCTCCTGAGTAGCTAGGATTACAGGCATAAGCCACCAGCGTCTCAGATGGATGGATTTTATGGTAGACAAATATACCTCAACATAGTTGTTTTAAAAACTAAAAGGCAGCTAGAGAAGATGAGAATAAGGATGAGGGAAATGTGACTTCCTCTGGAGACGGTGTTGGCAGGCCAAGGATGAATGCAAACACAGTATAATGGATGAGGTCCTTGCCCTGGCTTTAAATCAGTCATAGCAAATTCATCTGCCAGGAGTCAATTCAATTGCCCAAGTTTCCTCTATGGCCCATTGAAAAGATAAAATAGCTTTCTTCCTTCTTTCTTATATAACATGCCTCTCACCTAGCTTATCATCTATCCTCTTTATGGAGATGCTTCATAAAATAAAGCCCCAGACTTCTCTTCAATTGCAGCCTGGCAGCAGGGAAAATTACACCCTTTCTGCTACTTATATTTCTACAAGTAGTTCATGTTCCTAAAACATCATTTTCTTCATATATTCATCTCTCCTACTGACAAAATGTTAGTGATTTCCTGTTGCCTCCTGGATAAATCCCCAAGCTTCTCAGTCTAGGACAAAAGGCTTCCCACCATCTCTTCCATAACTTGATTTACCAATTTTTTCCCTTAGAACTGCAGGCTGGACCCTGGCAACAATGGCTTCTTGTTTCTCCCAAACCCTGTGCTTTTTCAAGTCATGAGAGATAAGGAGCAACAATGATCAGGTTCATTAGTGCAAAGTTTATGGGCTCTAGAAGAAGACAGACCTTCCTGGCTTTGGATCCTGGTATCACTTTGTAAGACAATGTATGATCTCTGCTAAATAACTAAGGCTTATATGCATAGCTGTTAAACAGGATTCTTGTGGTAACTAGGGAAAAGACAGGAAAAATGTTCAGCATATAGGTATGGTAGATAGTGGGCAGCATTAAGCCAGCAGGCTCATGTCTATAGACCTAATGACTATGAATTCTTTTTTTTTTTTTTTTGTTTTGTTTTGTTGGTCGTGGGCACTGTCCCTGAGCTCTTCTGCTCAAGGCTAGTGCTCTACCACTTGAGCCACAGCATCACTTTTGGCTTTTTCTGCTTATGTGGTGCTGAGGAATCGAACCAAGGCAAGCACTCTACCACTGAGCCACCTTCCCAACCCCATGAACTTATCTTACTAAACTCTGATATAGACTTTCTTCTCTGGCACGTGTAGAATCTTGAGGTAGATGAAACTGGGGAAACTTTGAGAAACAAATACCTAGACCTGCCCATGGAGCTTCTGATTTAATTGGTTTAAAGAAGGTCCTTACAACCACATTTCCTTAAAATTCCCCTAGTAATCCTATTGTTGAGAAACATTGCTTCAGAAAAAGTGCTTAGAGAAAGAACATTTTGCTATGGGAATGACAGGTCCTGGAAGAGGAACCTGCCTTGCATTTTAGTCAAGGTTCTGGGTATACCATTGATTTATTTTTCTCTGTCTCTATATTCTCAAAAGAACAATGGTACCTAACAAGGTACCTAACAGAAAGTCCAAAACAAACAAATGGGAGAGGAAGAAGAAGGAACAGAGAAAAAGAGAGAGAGAGAGAGAGAGAGAGAGAGAGAGAGAGAGAAAGGTGGGGGAAGCTGTCATGCATTAGAAGGCCATTAGGTCATATGCAAGTATTTTTTGGTCTGGTTTGATAGTGCCAAATGAAAACTTACACATTCATGTTAACAAATCCGAAGTGGAATAAAAGAAGCAATTAGAAAGCAGATGGTGATTCCTTCTGAAAGGAAAATAGTTCTAGAGAGATGGACTAGTAACCTGAGGAGAAAGGCCCTTTATTAACTCTTATTTTAGTTAATTGTTGTGTTCACAACTATTTAATCAACAGGAAAGGACAATCAATCTTAATCTCTTAGCTGAGCAGGCTAGAAATTCTGGCCAGAAATAATTTAGCACTGCAGACTTCTAATTCCACAGAATTTGTCCTTTCACTGCAGAGCTCTTTTGCAACGTCTTCATGTCCAAAATCAACTTTTGCCAAAGCTAAGACATTATGCCTTCAAGGGAGATGACTCTAACTCAATTTATTGCTTTTAAATATAAACTCATCATAAAATATGAATTACCTATCATGATAGATAGCTAATTTAAGGCCAAATCAATGTCTTGGGCCAATCTTAAAAGTAAATCTGGTTAGGCTGGAGATACAGCTTAGTGGTATAACACTTGTTTTAGCATGTGTGAGGGTTCAATCGCAGCACAAAGGCAAGCAATCAACAACCCCTTCCACAAAAACCATATGCCAATAGAAAGGAGTGTTTCCTAATGCAAGTCCTGTGCTTCCAGCAGAGTAGCTAAAAAATCCACTGAACACTTGTAATCAATTTTCTGAAATTACTATTTCCACAAACACAAGCTGGGGAATGGATGGTGTAGGAGTGCTCTCTGGGAGAGAAGTGTTTTTCTCCCTCACTTTCCAGTAATGACAAGATTTCCTCACAGCCCAGAGAACACGTGCTGCAGGAACAGGCTGGCCTGAGTTGGGAGCAGCTGGCACCTTCTTTCTGAGCCTAGCCTGTGCTTGATTGTAGTCCACAGCATGGGGCAGAGATCTTTTCAGTCTTTCAACATCCAAGACAAGGAGGAAAACGTAGCTGAGCAGTGCTTTCCAGCAACAATGGTGGAAAATGCTACTTATGCAGGACTTCTTACATAAACATTAAGAAAACTGGGAGAGCCGGGCGCCTGTGGCTCACGCCTGTAATCCTAGCTACTCAGGAGGCTGAGATCTGAGGATCGAAGTTCTAAGCCAGCCCTGGATGGAAACTCAGTGAGACTCTTATCTCTAATTAACCATCAGAAAACAGGAAGCGGCACTGTGGCTCAAGTGGTTGAGCATTCACCTTGAGCTGAAGAGCTCAGGGACAGCGCCCAAGCCCAGAGTTCAAGCCCCACAACTGACCAAAAAAAAAAAAGAAAACTTGGACAAACACTAGCTATCCTATTACTTATGTCCAGTAATTGAGTTTTTAAAGCTTGAATGGTCCTACTGAAAGCATCTGGGATAAACTCAATTTTGTAACAAATAAAGTTAAATAATTTGTCTATAATGATCACAGGTGCCTCCCCAAAACAAAGACAAAAACATATGAACAAAAGACAAAAACATATGAACAAAAAGGATGGTTTCTTAATTCCTCATTGACTCCAGCAAAGAGGAAGACTCAAGACTTTCAAAAAGCTCATGTCTACCATATCACACTACCTTGGACAATCTCCCATAGAACATTTTTAGTGCCAGCTCATGGTCAGTAATAAGAAGAGAAGGCTAGGAATGAGAAGATCTGGGTTGCACTTTAGTACAGCACTGGTGTGTGTGTGTGTGTGTGTGTGTGTACATGCTTGTTCATGTGTGTGATTTTGGAAGTCAGGTTTCTGTTTCAGTTAGTTCACCTCAGCTGGCAAGGCTCACCAGGTGCAGCGGCTGCTGAAGGATGTCAGAGAGCAGTGCTGATTGGAGAATGCACAAATCCACTGTCTTCAAGCTCAGTGAGGCTCTAGACTTGTCCTCATCTCTTCCTAGATTTTCTTCTTTGTTTTTTTCTTTTTTCTTTTTGCCAGTTCCTGAACTCAGGGCCTGGGCACTGTCTCTGAGCTTCCTGCTCAAGGCTAGCACTCTAGAACTCAACCACTTGAGCCACAGAGCCACTTCTGGCCTTTTCCGTTTATGTAATATTGAAGAATCGAACCCAGGGCATCATGCATACTATGTAAGCACTCTGCCATTAAGCCACATTCTCAGCCCTTCCTAAATTTTCTACAAATATTACTATCAGTCTTTTTGTTCCAACACTTGCTCCTTCTCAAATTGTTCTCCATAAAGTATTTTGGAGACTGTCCATTTTCCAAATGCTGGGATTATAGGTGTGTACCACCGTGCTACACAGGGCTATTCTGTCAACATATACACAACTGAATCATTTCACTTCTCAGCTGTTTAGTAGCTTCTCATGTCACTGTGAATGAAGACTACTCTCCTTTTGTACCTATAACAAGTGTGTCCTGGTCCTACTTTCTCTTTCTCTCTCTCTCTGACTTCTTCTCAGTCATTTTCCTTATTGTTCTGTTCAGTTTCTCACATGAGCCATGTTGGCCTTTCCAATGTGGGATGAAAGTTGGTGGCTCCATCTCACCTCTCCATATTCATGTGTGACTGTATTTGGAGACAGAGCATCAAAGAAAATAATGAAATTAAGTGAGGTCTCAAGGGAGGGCCCTAATATCATAGGATTAGTTTCCTTATAAGAAAAAGCATCTGTCTCCCCATGCATGAGGAAAGCCCTTGTGGAGACAGTTTTCAGACCTATGAAAAAGTAAATTTCTGTTGTTAAAATCACTCAGTGTGTGGTGTTTTGTTATAGTGGCCAGAAGAGACTAATAAATTGCCTCAGAGATTTTTTCATACAAGTGATTTCCCTCTGCCTAGACCTGTCTCTTCTTTCTTCCATCCTTTCTGTCTCTCTCTTGTTTCTTTTCCTTTCTACTTTCATTTACTATGTCTTCTAACTGGACCACTCTCCCAAGCAGCTCTTCCGTAGCTCACCAATTATTACTATTTCACCAAAGCCAACAGATGTGTTCATCTTTTTTTTTTTTCCCTTCCTTCAGCTGTGGGACATGAACTCCGGGCTTGGGTGCAGTCCCTGAGCTCTTTTGCTCAGGGACTTTAACCCACAACTCTACTTCCAGTTTTCTGGTGGTACATTGAAGGTAAGAGTCTTATGAGAACTTTTCAGCCTGGGTTGGCTTTGAACCATGATCCTCAGATCTCAGCCTCCTAAGTAGCTCAGATTACAGCATAAGCCACTGGCCCTCAGCTAGATGTGTTCATCTTTACCTTACTGGACCTTCTGTTAAATGGGACATTGTAGATTCTTCAGCTCTCCAACCCTCTTCCTTGGCTTTGATTTTACTACTCTCTCTAGGCATTCTTCCAATTCTTTTTTTTTTTTTTTGGGTCCAGTCATGGGGCCTGAACTCTGGGCCTGGGCGCTGTCCCTCAGCTCTTCAGCTCAAGGCTAGCACTCTATCACTTGAGCCACAGGGCCACTTACAGCTTTTTTTCTTTTTGCTTATGTGGTGCTGAGCAATCGAACCCAGGGCCTCATGCATGCAAGACAAGCGTTCTACCACTGAGCCACCTTCCCAGCCCTCCTCTAATTCTTTCTGTAGGTTTTTTCCAAGTTGTTTAAATATTGATGTTCTAAAATGCTGAAATAGGGACAAAGGATGACCCGTTGCAACCATGTTATCCACAATATACTATGTCTGAAATGAACTTTACAACTTGGGGGAGGGGGAGAAGTAGGGAAGGAAGGGATAGTGGGAGAAAAAACAAAGGAGTGGGTAACAATGTTTGACAAGAAATGTACTCATTACCTTACTCATGGAACTGTAACCCCTCTATACGGTATCTTTACAATAAAATAAAAAATATTGATGTTCTAATGGATTTTGTCACTGGTCCACAGCTTTTTTTCTTCTTCTTCTTCTGTATAATATCCTCTTTGGGAAATCTGTTCTCCTGGTGTTAACTATAACCATGTATTTGATGATACCAAATATAGCACACCTCTGAGGTAGACTGAATATCATCATTACTACTTGGAAAGTGAACAGGTATCTTAAATTCAAGGCTTCATAACTCAATTCTTTATCTTCCCATCCAAACCAGCCTTTCTTGAAATTTTCAATCTTAGTGCAAGGTGTTACCTTTTGCCTAAACAAGAAACTGCGGGATCTTCCACATACTCTTTTTTCTTCCTTAACCATTGCTCATGATTCTTCCCCCTTTAGGTTGGAGAGACTGATTATCTGTAATCCTAGCTTTATATTCTTGTGTGAGTGCTTTTGCAGTAACTGGATGTTCCCATACTTTCTTTCCTTTCTCCATCAAAGTGACCTACCTTGCCATCTTTGAAGTGCTTCTTGAGCTGCTTCTGCATGGCGGTCAGCTTCTTGGACTGCACTCCACTGTAAGCCAGTAGCATGCCGCCAAACTGCCTCTCAGTAATTCTCCCATCCACAGGGTCATTGCGTTCAAACTGTGAGGAAAATAGTAAGAATGGTCTTGAGTCAAATGGGAAGAATTTTGCTATGTGGAACAATCAGTTGTGTTAGATGGCAGAAAATAGTGCATGGCTGGGGCTGTATTTCCAAAGTACCAGTTGTAGCAAGAACTGAAAAAAAAAAACTAAGAAATAGGTCTAGATTCTTATCCAGGATTTAGGGAAGTTGTCCAAGTACTCTGGGCTCCAGTCTTCTCATGGAAAAAACAGAACTGCTTGTGTGTTGGTATGAAACTGTTACCATGAAACACATTACTCTGGGGCTGGGAAGGTGGCTCAGTGGTAGAGCGCTTGCCTTGCATACATGAGGCCCTGAGTTTGATTCCTCAGCACCACATAAGCAGAAACAAAAAAGCCAGAAGTGGCACTGTGGCTCAAGTGGTAGAGTGCTAGCCTTGAGCTGAAGAGCTGAGGGGCACATTACTCTGTAATAATATGCACTAATAATAAAAAAAAAATCAGAATAATGACAGTAACAAAAGAGGCCAGAACTTCTATAGCTTCTTATACTTCTCACACATCAGAAGCATGCTGGTAAGGATAGACCCAGTTTAAAGCTCCACATAAATTTATGTCATTATTAGTAATAAATACTCTCTAAGATCAACGATGGGCCTGCTTCTTAGAGAAAACTAAAAATGTAACTATTACAAATTTAATTAATTATGCCTACAAGGAACTCAATTTGAGTTCTTTTTTTTTTGTAGGTTGTGGGGCTTGAACTCTGGGCTTGGGCGCTGTCCTAGTACTCTTCAGCTCCAGGAGAGCACTCTACTGCTTGAGCTACAGCACCACTTCCAGTTTTCTAGTGTTTTTTTAAATTGGTGATAAGAGTCTCACAGACTTTCCTGCCCGGGCTGGCTTTGAACCATGATCCTTAGATCTCAGCCTCCTGAATAGCTAGGATTATAGGCGTGAGCCACTGGCACCCGGCCTCAATTTGAGTTCTTATAGATGTATTTTATGTGTGTGATTCTGGAGTTTGAGCTTTTTTTGATAAGAGTAATGCATTTTCAAGTTTTCTTCAAAATGACAACCAAATGTTAGGAAATCAGCACAGTTTAGAAAAAATACATAAAGTGTAGGATGTCTTCATTAGATGTACTAACCTAAAGCTACTGAAAAGTCAGTGAATAAAAATGCAGATAGAAAAGTTAAGAATAAAGGGCCAGTAGTTGATGTAAATGATGTCAGAAAATCAAGAGGTTCATTTAAAAATAAGACAAGAAAGCTACTCAGTCCTAGCTGTAATGCTAATGATACTTATGAACACATGAACAATACAATGGCTAAATGTGGGTCCAGTAATCAAATAGAAAGCAAAACAATTTGAAGATGAAATGGCAGTTAAGGGAAACTCTCAGATTCCTACACAGCATCCTAATCCTGTTTTCATGAGAGGCATATGCATAGATGTACGATTGTGCTGAGTAAGGTCATATCTAGCATGTCTTCTAGTTGCCTAGTACTTGTTATTTGTCGTTATGGGGCACAGAAAAATGAGAAAATTATCTTTCTGTCCTTAGGGATCTCACCTGAATTTGGTATGGGGAAAAGATTTACACATGAGACATAAAATAGGAAAGTACATAGTCAAGAATCAATTCTCTCAATTCTCACTTCCTCAGTTGACTTAGTAAGGTGACATACATCTTATTTCTTCACTGATGAGACTACTGCAGTGAACAAGACACAAGAACTATATGGTAATAATAGCAACCATTTACTGAGCATGTGCCCTGAGCCAGGTAAAATCTCCACACTCTTTCATCCAATCCCTGACAGTTCAATGTAGCAGTTATTAGCTCCACTTTGCAGACTAGAATACTGAAGCAACATGCAGCCACGTGTGACTGAGTGGGGGTTCAAACTTGGCCTTGCTGGGTGCAAAGACTACCTCTCAATATCATACCATTTCCTACTTCAAAGCAGAAGTACACATGCAACCTCAACCTGTGGGACAGCAATAGGTTGTTTTGGGTGAACTAATACAGCCATAGGGCTTATAAGTCATCTGTAAATGAGCTGCAAAGCTATTTGTAAAGAAATCAACATCATCAATACCAAGTGAAAACCTCCTTTTCTACCCAACAACTCAATATTTCATATCTGTCACATCATCACTTCTATATAACTGATTAATTTTTGACAATACCAAACATTTTCAGGATTCAATTTTAGTTTGATTGATGACTCAATTTACCATCTTGAAACAAAACAGAGGACTGACAAAATTTTGCAAGTGGGCATACTTTCTTCAATGTTTAAATCAGGGTTTCAGTGAAATGTGATACATGGGCAAAAACTGGGAGCTCCAAAATTCCTTTATGGGCAGTAGCCTCTGCTTTGCAGGCCAGGTTTAAACATTTAAAGAGCTCATTCTTTCCTTAAGTGGAGGATTTCAGAGGTGAGACAATCACATATGTTTGTGTTATATGAGTTTTCAGCCCCAAGATAGATTGGAGTATGAATTTTTTTTTTTTTTTTTTTGGTACAGAAAATTGGCAGCAGCTGCAGCCGGCTTAAAACTTCTGAAAGGCCCTTATTTTCCTTTCTCCATAGTGGAAAGACCTCACCTTTTAATATTGCAATTCCAATGGAGGACCCCAAGTAACAATTCCAATGCTCACATTAGTACTGGTAGTGGTTTCAATTATTAAAGTTTTTTTTTTTTTGTCGGTCGTGGGGCTTGAACTCTGGGCCTGGACGCTGTCCCTCAGCTCTTCAGCTCAAAGCAAGCGCTCTACCACTTGAGCTACAGCGCCACTTCCGGTTTTCTGGTGGTTTATTGGAGATAGGAGTCTCACGGTCTCTCCTGCCCGGGCTGGCTTTGAACCACGATCCTCAGATCTCAGCCTCCTGAGTAGCTAGGATTACAGGCGTGAGCCACCAGCGCCCAGCTAAAGTTTTTTTTTTTTTGAGACATGTTCTTACTTTGTTCTCTAGACTGACCTCAAACTTGTAATCTTGCTGCTTCAGTCTCTCTAATACTATGATTTTTAGGTAACTAGAATGGAAAAGACTTAAAAATGATAAACATTTGTCTTAGCCATGTAGTATGGCCTATTTCAAAGCTTACTACTTCAGCTCTGTACGTGCATTTGGGATAGCAGCTTTCTGTTTAGGTATATAGCATCTTCTGAAGCAAGGCTGTCAAATTTCTGAGGTTCTTTGTAGGACCTGGATGGAACCTAGAGCCTTGGGCATACTAGGCAAATGCTCTATCATTGAGTTATGGCCCCATACAATTTCTAAACATGGCCGAAGTAGGCTTTGGAGATTTGTTTCACACATCAATCTGCTAATAGAAGCAGATATGAACAAACACCCTATTGATTCAATATTCTTTAGCTGAAACCTATTACACTAAGCAGAGGGAATTTTGTAGGTGGTATCTCAAGGACGTTTATTATGGTTACATTTCAAAGGCAATAGGCTAAACATGACATGGTTGTAGGGATCAAGTATGTATCTTAGCCTTGATAATCTTGTGGATGTACTCCCAGGGCTGTATGCATGCAATCAATCCCTGAGGCCAGAGAAGGGCCATTGAGGAAAGGCACAGGTCATTATCAATTTATCACAACATGGAAAACTTCTAACAGTGCAGCTGGAAGCAATTTGAATCTTTGGATTCATTTAACTTAGTCAAATGTATGTTCCATTTAAGTTGGCACCTCTTATGTTCTCTCTCAGTGACAATGAAGAAACCCCATTATATTTGATCCCATGGCAAAGAATATGTGCATTCCAGCATTGCTACCCCCACCCTTGCCATCGGCATCACTTTCCTGTGTTAAAATAAAAGATGAAATAGTGCTAGGCTTAGCACTTCCTTTCTGCAGCCACTACCGCTTTCTCAAATGCATACAAGCTGTTGTCTCCCTGTTTATCCCCAGGGGAACTGCAAAGCAGGCAAAGAAGGGCCAGGAAACAGAAGCCAAAAAACTGTCACGTAGGATTTTTCTTGGCTTTCTCTCCATATTGCACCTCCAATTCCCACCCTTGCCCCTTGTCAAGAGAAGGCATAGCCTTTTGGAAAGACAGATGGTCTACACCTATCTATATGGCATGACCTGAGGAAGATGGGAAGCCAGGAAGAGAGGAAAATTTTGTATTATGGATAAATGCCAGAAATGGGGTGAAAAATAGTAAAAAGAGAAAGAAATCACTATTTGCAAGTGGGTCATCATGTATTTTTTAATTAGAAAAACTTAGATTTGAACTCAAGGCCTAGGCAATTGCTAGGCAGGCACCTTACCACTTTAGCCACACCTCTAGCCCAAGGGTCATCATTTGTTAAAGACCTTTAGAGTTAATGTAGGCCTACAAATAAATGTAAACTTTAATCCTGTTCTCTTTCATAGTTTCTTTTCATAAGACTTTGTCTGTCTCCTAGAGTAAATCCTACCCTTTTATAAATATTTCAGAATGATATATATATATATATATATATATATATATATATATATATTTTTTTTTTTTTTTTTTCCCAGTCCTGGGGCTTGAACCGAGGGCCTGGGCACTGTCCCTGAGCTTCTTTGGCTCAAGGCTACCACTCGAGCCACAGTGCCACTTCTGACTTATTCTGTTTATGTGGTACTGAGGAATTGAACCCAGGCTTCATGCGTGCTAGGCAAGCATTCTACCACTAAGCCACATTCCCAGCTCCTCAGCATGATAAATTTCTTAATAGGCCTTTTCTAGTTTCTTCCCTGCATGATTAAAGATAGCAAGGCAATCTCAGGCCACTGAGCTATACACATATGTCTTTCAACCTAGCAGTACATGGCCTTTGAGATTTTACCAGTGCCATATTTGCTACTGTCAAGAGTCTGTCTCACTGTTAGGATAATCCGAAGGAAAAACAAGCACAAGCAGCTTTGGATACTATAAATCTATCTAGTAAGCATGACACAGGTATTCATAGGTTGAACTGAAATCTATGTTTCTGCAATTGGATGGGAACACCAGAA